AAAAAGAAAAAAGCCGGAAGTGGCGCTGTGGCTCAAGTGGTAGAGCGCTAGCCTTGAGCTGAAGAGCTGAGGGACAGTGCTCAGGCCCAGAGTTCAGGCCCAATGACTGGACCCCCCCCCCAAAAAAAAATAAAACAATCATATAGCACTCTTTTCTTCATCTCAGCTTTGGTTCTATATTTTTTCACATACCTGGTAACAAACTGTATTGGTATCTACTTAGTTTTTTTTTTTTGTCATGGGACTTGAACTCTGGGCCTGGGCGCTGTCTCTTAGTTCTCCAGCTCAAGGCTAGCGCTCTACCACTTGAGACATAGGGCCACTTCCGGTTTTCTGGTGGTTTATTGGAGATGAGTCTCACACTTTCCTGCCGGGGCTGGCTTTGAACCGAGAACTCAGCCCCCTGAATAGCTAGGATTACAGGGGTGAGCCACCAGTGTCTGGCTAGTTTTTTTTTCTTTTGGGTCCGGTTGTGGGGCCTGAACTCTGGGCTTGGGCACTGTCCCTCAGCTCTTCAGCTCAAGGCTAGTGCTCTACCACTTGAGCCATAGCGCCACTTCCGGCTTTTTTTTTTTTTTGCTTATGTGGTGCTGAGGAATCGAACCTAGGGCCTCATGCATGCAAGGCAAGTGCTCTACCACTGAGCCACCTTCCCAGCCCCCCCCCTTTTTAAAATTAACTTATTAAAAAAAGATTTCTCTTATCCATTAGGACAGTTTGTCTCTGAACCACCTAATTGTCTTATTTTGTGTCTCACAGGAGTGGGGGAGCATATGCTGTAGAGGCTTGCATTGTTCTGTAGGTGATGGTCTCCAAAGTGTCATTTTAAAAAGCCTTCATGGTCCATATGTGATAGTGGTGCATCCTTATAATCCTAGCTATTTGGAAGGCTGAATCAGGAGGATCACAGTTCAAGGCTGGTCTGGGTGCATACATGAGAGCCTTTCTCAGCCAATAGTTGAGCAAGGTGGTGTATGCTTGTCATCTCAGCTATGACAAGAAACGTAAAATAGGCAGATTGTGATCCAGGTATACACCCAGGCAAAAAGCAAGACTCTATCTCAAAATAACCAGTGCAAAAAGGGGCTAGGAGAATGGCTCAGTTGCAGAACACCTGTCTATTAAGCTTGAGGTCTTGAATTCAAATCCTAGTACTGCCAAAAAAGAACTTCACTATCTTAGGTGAAGATTTGTCTAGTGGACCTAGTCATAGTCTATGGCTAAGGAAGTCAGCAGCTGCTGCCCGTATGCTGGTGGCTTTTGTTTCTCGGTTTTATGTACATTTCTATTTCACAAGTCCTCCAAGAGGATAAAGTTCAAAGTCTAAAGTTGTTCTTTTACTAGCATCTTAATCATTATGTGATACTTTACGGGTTGATTTAAAAACCTTTCTTTAACTTTGAAACACAACAGAAGGTTTGAGGCTGTTCCTGAGTGAACCTATTCAGTCCTTATCAAGTTCATGCTATGACTGCCTTTCACTTAAGGAAATCTTTACTTTCTGCTTCTGGTGTCTATGTTAAGTCCATAGACCTCACTCTCCCAATTGTCTGTAGAGTTGACTTTCTATTTTTTTAGTCTCGCATGGTTTTCCTTCCATTAACATTTCATTTGAGTAAGTACAGTCTGCCTATGTTAATCTCTGCAGCACTGCTAAGCCTGCTTAACTCTCAATATTATTTCCATCCCATATTCTGTTATCTGTATCATTACACTCTGTATTTATAAGAATATCTGGCACTATTCCAGGACAGTCCTTCAAAAACTCATCTTTGTTTTTTTTTTCATAGTACAATCATCCATGTCTTCAGTAGTATGTCCTGATATTACTGTTTCCTCCTCCATTGGCATTTTTAAATTTATTAAGAACTTGCAACTTTGTTGCTGCTACTTTAAAAATGGGATCCTAAATAATTTTCTTGCTGTTTGTGACTAACAGCTAGAACTTCCAATGTTCTCCACTTTGTGGCAACACACAGAAGTGATATCAACGTTTGTGCACCGTGTGTGTACATGATGCCTGCTTCTGGGCACCTTGCAGCTCCAGAGCCTGACCTGCACACTTGAATGAGGAAGCTGGCAGAAGCTTTCAGGATGTTCTAACCCTCTCCTCTAAGAATCTTAAATTCAGTAAATTTAACCAATGAGAAAACTAGATATAACTAGAAGACAATTGTAAAAACAGTTGAGGGAAAATCCCAATTGTGACTTAAATACCACACATTCTAAGTACAAAGATTTTGATAAGGTTTTTTGTTTTTAATAAACTATTTTCTTCACTGAAAGGAGTAAAAGAGTCACAAAAATCTTACTAAAAATAATTAAGATCCTAAAATAACACAAATTATGCCCATCCATTTAAGAAATAAATATTTTAACTCAGAGAAACTATAGAGAAATCCCACTCTCTTCGCTCCTCACCATCTGGGTCTTCAGCAGGTTGAATGCTCATGTAAGGTTCCCCTTTCTCCATGCGAGACTGTCTCTGTCGACTTTCTTCTTCTAATGCAGCTTCTGCACGGCTTTTTGCATTGATGTAAGCAAGGTATGCAGGGGAATTGTGATAGGCCTTCATAGATTCATTGTACTCTATCTGAAAGCCAAAGGATTTCCAACTTTATAATGAACAGTGTGCAAGTTACAGGGTATACCTGTAACATTTCATTTGAATATCAAGGAACTGATATAAAGCAGGATGCCATCATAGTGGTTAATATCTCCTTTTTATGGACAGGCACTCTGAGGTCTAGAGAAACCAAGTGACCAGACCCAGGCAGATAAGAGCCTCAATCCTCAAAAAAAAAAAAAAAAAAGCTGAGCCATCTCAGCTTTCTGATCAAGTTTTATGTTCCCTCTATTCACAATAAGCCAAGGATGGTTCACTTTACCCCATGTCCATCCCAAGTCTCTCTTACCTTTTCTGCTTCGTATTCGTTTAAATATTCTTGTTTCTCTTCATCAGTGAGATCTCGCCACATGCCACCAATAATCTTGCCAATCTCCCACAACTTTAGGTCGGGGTTGGAAGCTTTTACTTGGTCCCAGACCTTTAAAAAAGAAAGTAGTTGAAATCTCAATATTAATGCTTAAGCATGTACTTATTTAAAAATACTACTCAATGTAGAAACATTTAATAAACATAAACAAAAGAGAGGGCAGCATCAAACTCCTATGTTCTCATTAGCCTTTTTCAACAATTATTCATAGGTGGCTCATCTCCCTCTTTATCTGAAGGATTATTTTGAGGCAAATCTCAGACTTCATGTCACTACACATGAACATTTCAATTTGATAAGCCAAGAATATCTCCAATCATTGGAGATATTTACGATGAGTTAACTCAATAACCTAGCCTTTATCTCTAAAAGTTTATGTGAATTTAGAAGGAAAATAATTATCTGTATAATACAATGAAAATATATACGTAAGTATGAACAACTTTTTAAAAATTTCAAAGTATGACGAAAATGCTCCTCTGTTTAATGAGTAGATTCAGTTCAAGAGTTATATAGGTTCATCACCAAAAACCTGGAAAATTTAAAGAAGCATAAAGGAAATCAAAGTCAGCCTACAATTACTATTTTTGGCACTAACCATTGTTTACCAGTTTTTCCTTCTCAAAATTACATAAAAATATTGTGTGGTTGCTATTTTTTTTTTGGGGGGGGGAAACAGTATTAGAGTTTGAACTTTTTACTTTGCTAGGCTGGAATGATACTGCTGAACCATATTCTAGCCCACTATTATTTTTATTTTACTTATTAATTAAAATTTGTGGTGCTAGGGATGGATCCCAAGGCTTCTCACAGGCTAGGTAAACACTCTACTACTGAGCTATACTCCCAGTCTCTTATTTTATGAAAGATATTAACATATACAGTCTTCCCTTTTTCTACTTAACATTTTTTTCTCATACCATTCAATATTATCCAAAAGACATTACTTTGATGGCTATAGGACATTATGCATATGAACAGTTTATTTAGTCATGCTCCTCTCTCTGTATTTTAGTGGTGGAATTTCAAAATCAGACTGAACCTTTTATAAAGTTGTCTTTTATTCTCCCCCTGGAAGTTCAGAGAAAGCAGCTAAGCCTATCTAAAATTGCACATAAGGATGAAGGGCAGAGGTGGCTGTCCTCCTTCCCTCCCCATTTCCAGGTACCTACCTTTCTGCTGTACCTCATGTAGGGCATCAGCGGCTTATCTGGTGGCTTTGGGGGTTTTGGAATTGTAATACCAGAGGATGCCTACAAAAGAGGTAAATACATTCATTATTCAATTGTAAGAAGTTCACCGGTAACCTGAAAAGAGAGTCCCTTAAAAAGTTCTAATGCGCCTTTCTTCTACTCGTCCATGGATACAAGATTCTTTTATTTTCTCCACGGAAAATAGCTAGCACTGCAAATCCAGAAATGTTCATATGAAAAGAAAAAATGACTTTAAACATAGAACTTTGAACGTTTTACTTAGCAATTTACTGCGACTGCCTTGACAACCTGGCTGCAAGAACAAATAAAGTATTACGTAATAATCCAGACACTGAAAATACATGGTTATGTATCAAACATCTCACACTGAGGACATTACATGGCACCTTTTTGTTTTTCTCAACTGCCATTACACAAACAGTCAACACTTGATTATCTGCAGCAGGATCTGAATGCTGGCACTTACCATACTCACACTGCCTACAGGGGCCTTGAATCTATTGGTATTAGGTCAGGAATGCACACCCTCAGACACACCAGCAAACAACTACCTCTTTGGTTAAAAAGCAACCAAATAAGAATATTGGACATAGCTAGAAGGCAAGACAAAAAGTAAAAGAAACAAAAAGGCATTTCCTTTAGCACTAGAGATTTCACTTTTCTTAAGGGTGTATGCCTGTTATCTATTGTTGCTTTTTTTTTTCCTTTCTACTTTTGTGGTTTGGGGATCAAACCCAGAGTCTCACTAGAACTACTTCTAGTGGTTTCTTATGAGCTACTAAACCCTCACTTTTCATTGTTTTCAAGACCTAATCATAGTATAGAAGAAAACAACTTTCCCAGGAACAAAGCCCTGGCAGATATGGAGCCAGATTATGCTGTTTCCTAAGTCTTACATTAAAAAGCTTAAATTCATTAAAACTTTTTTTTTTTGTCTAGAAAAGGCATAAGAGGAAGAGGGAGAGTGGGATGTATAAGAAAAAGGATATAAAAAGAGGAGACACTGAAAAATATTTTTCAAAAGGATAAAAGAAGCAAGTGGGAGACAGAAAAAAATGAACAAGACAGCCATGTGATGAGTTTCTTCTGTAGACTGAGACCTAGGAGGAGAAACCAGGCAACTTCTGTTGGGTCCCCACATAAAGCTGCCACTCCACAACTGTTGTTTTTCAACGTTTTTGTCTCCTCTTTACATTACTGCATTCAAGTAATGATCTCAGAATAAGAAAAATCATGGCCCAATCACATTTTCCAAATCCTGGGAAAACCCTAATAATGACTTTCTCCATCAGGCCAGGAAAAAAAGCATTGGCTTTATTCTACCAAAATATGCAGCTGAATGGCAAATCCTTGATTACAGGGATAGGCCTCATTTTTCACTCAAGGGCCCCGGGAATGTCTGTACCCTTTCCACTGTGATTAAGACATGCTGCTTCTTTCTATACCAAGTTCTCCCTCCTTCCCTTACATACTTTAAAGTAACTCTACTTACTCCTTTATAGGATCATTAAGAGCATTATACACAAGGCAGTCCTTGCTTCAACTATTCTTACCACATCTCATGTGGGTTGCCCACACAGATTGACTCTGGTTTTAGCCACTGGGCAATGGAGTGATAGAGGGGTAGAATGAGGGACAGAAACTGCCAACAGTGGTGTTACCTAACAGCAGCCAGTAAGGGATATAGATAGGGACTAGGATTTGCAGGAGTTAACTTCTAAGGAGAAGGAACATCCTACAAGGCTAACCTCTATCATGGATTCATAGGGAAGAGGTAGTTTCTTCATGTCTGAAGTTATTAGAAAGCAAACATCCTGTAGAACAGGAACTGGGTTACAAGTAACAATGGAATTGTGCCCATAATTGAAGGTGGCAGGCCACTGGTTGGCCGTTTTTAAAGAAATCTGAAGAAGAAAAACATTCTAACATGTCTGTGTTTTTAAGCTGTATGAATTAAAACACTTTTACAAACAAGGTATACCCATATGTGTTTTCAAAGACTCATAATTTATAACACTAATAGATTTGCTTATTTTCCATTTTTTCTCCCAGAGAAAGGCACACAAATCATCTGCATAGGGAGGTCCTATTTCATTTACAAATACAAAAACAAATCTCCTAAATTCCATTAAAATAAAGTGAAATTCCAGTATGCAGTTAGGCTCCTGAAGAAGGAACTATCTCCAACTTAACATCTCTCACTATACTATCTTAAACATTTCTTTACCCTCGAAGACCAAACCAGTCCAAAAGCAAAAACTCAAAGTTTGAACGTTACATTAGCCCTTTCTCCTTAAAAAGTCATAATGAAAATACCCAACCATTGCCTTGTGGGGATGTCATCCTCTGAGGTACAAGAAAACTACAGTTGGCTTTTACTAACTGGCAGCGTTGTGAGTTTTGGAGTGGTCCAATTTCCTTTTTTTTTTTGCCAGTCCTGGGGCTTGAACTCAGGGCCTGGGCACTGTCTCTGAGCTTCTTTTGCTCAAGGCTAGCACTCTACCACTTGAGCCACAGCACCACTTCTGGTTTTTTCTGTTTATGTAGTACTGGGGAATGGAACCCAGGGCTTCATGCATGCTAGGCAAGCACTCTACCACTAAGCCACATTCTCAGCCCCCAATTTCTATTTTTGATATGGTTCTTGCCTTGTTGATCAAGAAAATTACTGCTAGTACCAACTCTCCAATTTGCAACAAAGTGGGGGAAAACAAGTAATTCCACTGGTTAGAACTATGCTTACCTAATAGTCATGTACAAAGAACTCCATGGACAAAATTCATAGTTTTGTGTGCTGTGGCCACTCTGTTTTTTGTTTTCTTTTTGGTAGTTTCTGAAGTCCTAGCTGCATCTCTTAAGGGTTTTCTACTGGGGAAAGAATTTTACTAAAGCAGGGAAGTAGGTTTGTCTTAATCAGTTTCCATACCTATATTTAAGAAAGTGTGAATCTGAAGGAAGAACTACACTCAAAGCTATCCTAAGCACCCCCAAAGGCCTCAACTTGCTATCTAAGTGTCCTACTCTTTGGCAAGTACCCTTCAAACTCTTCAGTACTTCATAGACTTGGCCTATCAGATCAATTTGCAGACCTTAACTCCCAATTGGTAGCAACCCTCAATGTAGTATAAATTGGGGTTAGGGTCATCTAAAAAACCCACATTTATGATGGTTGAAATCAGAGCTGTTAAGTCCTAACACAGCTAAATTAGAGATATAGAAGTTTGAAACCTCCACATAGTTGAGGCCCTTCACTCGGCTATTTGATTACACTTGGGTTTGATGTTAAAAGGACAAAAAAAAAATACATGAAAACAACCACAAAGAACCAAAACACCAAATTTCCCAGGCACAACAATTCTGCTGTATTAATGTACCCTGAAGCTGGTGCTAGGTATAAATACTAGATTCTTAATGTTCCCCAGGAAGGGAAGGGGAAAAATGAGTGACTGACCCATGACCCAGGCCCAGAGACAAGGAGTGTATTTTTCTTTTCTTAGTTAGGGCTCCATGAGTGACCTTACTTTATCAACACCCCAAAATAAGAACAAAACACACATAAAACAAAAACTAATTATTCTGGCATCACAGTTTCTATTCCTATTCCATTATTAATATAGATAATCAAGAGCTGACTGTATAGAGCTACTAAATGCAATAATTTTCTTATTTACTGCCTGTGAATAAATTTCTGTGTTAATGTGAATGATCCAAAATTGGTTCTTCTCATTTAAAATATTCTTTCTTGTCTGAAAACCTTACCACTCAGTACACTATGAAACACCACATTTAGGCCAGGGGAAAACATGTACTGATGCACATAAAAACCATATGCATTATGAAATGCATACATAAACACACTATCAGAACTCTTTTTCTGGATACCATGAAATATGCATGGCACATAAACTTGATATGTGTATGAGGTACAAATTATGCAGAAACAATGAAAAATTCAGACATACAAAAACTATCAAGCTAAGCAATGTGCTTACCAAGATAGACACACAATTTGGTAGTTACGAATTTTCAGTTTGCAGCTTGACTACAGGGTGAGAGGGTTTTCTGAAGTTACATTAATTGAATAAGCTTATTATGTATGAATAGACCAAAATGAAAACCAGGTATTAAAAAGGTTATAGCTTTCTTGGGTTGTATATATTCTTACCAACACCACATTTCAGAGTATGTAAGGTATTTGACTTTTGGATTTACTTTACCTAAACTTCTTGAATGGAGTTTAAGAGAAAAATTTGAGGTATCTCATCCAACTTTGATTATCTTAAGTTGATTACTTAAATCAAACATCCTAAATTTTAGAACTCCTATCCCTGATACTATGGGTTAGAAACTGACTTCTAGTTATAATTATCTGATACCTGATTTAATTTCATTCAACTTTTATTCTGTAATTCTTAGAGGAGAAAGTCTTTTTCTCTTTTCGACTGGAGAGAAATAAGCCTGTTAGACAGTCAATTAAATCCAAAAGACAAATAACTATGTATAGCAATTTGGACTGGCAGGTCAGTCAAAAGCTTTCAAACCCTGAAAAGCCAGGTTTGAAAGCCTCGCATGTATAAACCACCTGAGTTCTGAGACCAATGCCATTTACCTTAGAAAAAGAAAAGATACTTTTCATAACAAAAAGAGTATTTTAACCACAAAATTCTCAATTTGTTAATATAGCATAAGCATCGAGTGCCCAAGGTTTGATCCCTACTGAACACCAAACAGAATTTTTCTTTCATATACATATCCAGATCACACTATTTTATTTTTTAGTGTCAGATTATACAATGAATGTTTAAAATAATTGAAAAGCCTGGTTAATTTTTTTTTTCCATTTTCTTTTCAATGGCTGTGCTTATAATTCAAAAGGACCTAACTCTGGAGGCATTTCTGGTCAATTCCAGTTGTTTGCCGGAGGCTGTAATAGTTGATTCTCCTACCGTGACCCGGCTGTTGGTGCCCGGGTTCCCTCCCAGCCTGTAGTTGTTGTAGGCGAGATGACTGTATGGATTGTATCCCACAAACCCTGGTGTGCTGGGCATTTGCTGATGGAAACAAATGAGACAAAAACACGAATGAGAAATGAGCTCAAACGAGGAAAACACAGAAATGAAAAATGATCTGCATATGGCATGCAAAAGCAACCTGAATTTAAACAAGCAATGATGTGTTGTAATTTACTTTTACTTTCACCGGGAAACCAATGTTGCAAGTGTTCTCCCACCCCTTTTTTTTGGCAAGGACTGGGGGAGGAGGGGTCTGTTTGTGAGAGTGTGAATGTGTGTGGTTTGTTTTTGAGAAAAGCAATATACTGAAGTATCTCAAACATTCAGGATTACTTTATGGGCAATAGTATGATAGAATAACTTAGCAATATGTGATGCCTGAGCTTGAAGTGTGATAAGCTGGAGGTTTGAAAACACTACATGCAAAACAAAACATGATTTATTTGACAGTTATGTAGATGTCACCAAAGTGTTTATCTTCTAAGAACAAATAAAACCAAGAAATGGATCTCCTTTCCAAAGACAGCTTTAAATACTTTTATGTAAGAAATGAGACTCAGGAAGCCAGGAGTTGTCAATAGAAAAGAATGTATATTGGACTCAATGGATGTAACATGCATGATCTCAAAACAGACTTGTAAGAAATGCATGGATTTCATTCTGGGGTACTATCTGATCTTTCCAACTCAGTTATTCTTTTTTTTTTTGTTGTTGTTGTGCTGTCACTAGGGATTGAACTCAGGGCCTGGGCACTGTCCTTTAGCTTTTTCCACTGAAGGTTAGTGCTCTACTACTTGAGCCACAGCCCCACTTTGGGCTTTTTGGTGGTTAGCTGGAAATATAGAGTCTCAAAGACTTTCCTGCTTAGGATGTCTTTGAACCATGATGCTTACTTAGATCTCAGCTAGGATTACAGGTGTAAGCCACTGGTACTTGGCTTCTGGTTATTCTTATATAGGCTTTCTCTTCCATCTCTTCTTTGACCCATCTATCATAGGTCAACCACAACCAATTTCTGCAACTAATCTTAGTAGGAACTATTTTTCTCATCAACAGACTTGACCTTTCCTTTTTTTCTTCCATCTAGTTTCCTTTCAAAACACAACTATTCACTGCAGCAACAGAGTTTTTGTCTTTTGTGAATTATGTGTAGATGTAATCACACATGAGCTCTTATGGAACAGTGAGTGGCCTTGTGGTTGATACAATGACATCTTATGTTCATGAAGATCATGGTATAATGCATAAAATAATGTAGCAAAGAGAGACCAAATGTAGGGTATTTTACCTCAATCATAACAAGTGACAGTAATTTCATTTTTACATGCAATTAATAGTACTGATTCCAACTTATATAATATAATGCACATTAACACATTCCAACTAGGCTTTAGCTGTCATACAATAAGCACAATATTCTAAAACATGCTGCTGTACATATCTTTAGTGTCCAAAGACATTCAAGCAGGCAGCACACTTGATACTTTTTAGGAGAAAAGAGAACAATCAAATTGATCAATTAATTTCTAGCCTACAGAGTTAGAGAAGACGCAAGTTAAGCATATTTAGGTAGGCAAAGCACAGATGAAGTATCAAGGCATAAAAGAAGTGTCTGTCATGTGGAGTGGTGGTGGTAGAGGGGGGTGGTGATGGTGGTGGTAGGAGTAATGAAATTAAAAAAATAAAAGAATAGTCAATTTACTTTTCATTCTGTTGAAGGATCTTATTCTTATTTTCTGATTTATTTTGTATATCAATAAGAAATTATGATGGCACAGAAATATAACTTAAAAAGGCAAAAAATCTTTTTATGTATGAAATCTAAAAGGCATACTTGTTTTTGAAATGTTTTAATCTCAAAAATATCAAGCTTGTCCTTGAGATCTTATATACTGTTGGAGGCAGTTTTTATAGTAAAATGATACTGCCACAGGTTGCATAACCATTCACTACTCAACAGAATCACTGTCCAATTTATGAGGCAAAAGTGTAGGAAAAATTAGGGAACTAAAAGAAATTAAAACACTAGAACTATCCCATTTCCAAAGGTGAAATACATGGTTACATCTCTGAGGTCAGACTCTCAGCTGTTCAACTTTATGCGGATGGCCATGAATATAATGCCATGGAGATGGTAGTAAGAAATACTTTGATCTAAGAAGGAAAACAAACCACGCACAGGCTTTGAGGTCTTCTGGAATCAACTTTAGAGACTGTGTATATGATATGAACTGAGAAAGAATGATACGGTATCTCTTTTTTAAAAGTACTTAAATTATTGATAATTGTAACTAAAGCATACATCTGAGGGTTAGTAAACAAATTAGATTTCTAGTGGAGAAAACAAAATTACACAAAGAAATAATTAGTGGTTAAAAAAAGTAGACTAGTCTGAAATTGAGGTTGTAGGAGATATGGAAGGAAGTACTAACAACTAGCAAAGAATTAAATGTGAGCCAGGCATGGTGGTGAATGCCTGTAATCCCAGCATGTGGGAGGCTGAGACAGGTAGATCCCGAGTTTGAGGCCAGCCTGGGCTACATGCCAAGACCCTGTCTCAAAAAAAAAAAAAAAAAGCGGGGTGGGGAAGAGAAAGAGGGAGAATATGGTCATGTTAACACTATTTTGTTTAAAAAATAGTAATAAGGAAGCCATTTCATCAAGTCCTGAACAGTTACTATTAAATCTGTAGTGTGGTTTGGATTATTATTTTACACGCTGATCAAGCTGGGCCAGAGTTAACTGGGTGAAAAAAACTAGTTCACATCAATTACTTAAAATACTTTGAAACAGATCAATTTCAAAAGCAATAAAATGTAATTTACAGAATGAAATAAAACCCAATAGTAACATATGACCCATAGATAATAAAATCATTACTTGAACAGCTTGAAAATAAAGATTTACCATGAGGCATAATTATTAGAAGCTTGTTTAATATAAAAATTTTATATATTGACAAGATTTTTTTCATTATTATTATTTTTTTCTTGTGGTACTGAGGATCAAATCCAGGGCCTTTATATATACTAGACAAGAAGTCTGCCACTGAATACTTCCCCATACTCAGACAAGAAAAGAGAAAAATGTAACCAGTTGAAGGTTAGGTTTAAACAAATGAAATGTCAGTAAAAGCACTCATTGAATATCAACTTAAAAGACTCCTAATAGTGAAGATTAACAAAAGAGAAGTGTTAAACTGGTTAATTCGCATTAAGGAAAAAACCAAACAGAGCATAGGATGTTGGAATTTCATAATTTTTTTTTCTTTTTAAAATGTTGGGGTTGGTTCAAGGTAAGCTGTAAAGAGTTATTTTATTTAGTAGGAAGTGTTTTTTAGCTGAATTTTTCATCCTGTGGCTGTGATGATTGAGTGACTATCACTGGAAGACATTTGGGTTTTTGTATCAAGGCCAGACTTGGCTATTACATTAACAAGAAAATTAAAACTTACTGTTGCAGGAGCTGGGGTGGGAGGTGGGGCATAAGATGGTCTTTCTGTTTGAAAGAAAATAAATAACTTCTTGTAAACAACTGAGATATAATACTATGCAACAAAACTACCAATGGTCCTGTTTTGAAGAAAAAAATTTTTGAGAGTATTTTGGAATTCCCATTTGCTAGGGCATTAGTCTCTTATTAACATAGATGATAAATATAAAAATTGAAACTTACTTGACATTTTGGAAGATTAAGTTCTCAGTTCCTTAAGAATGAATCTGAGACACTAAAATAAAAAAAAAGAAAAAAAAGGAAAAAAAAAAGAGAATCAAAACTCAGCAAGCATAAGAGAATGTTTTCCTAAAGAATAGGGTAGTTTAATTGGTATTTCTGAGCAAAATTACTTCACTTTTAATTGCTAGTAATCAAGCCTTTTGAATATTTTATCTAGTTCTTTTAGGTCATTAGGTTGATCAGAATTAAATGACTAAAATAAATTACTGGGACATTTAGAGTAATATGAGAAATGTACTGCTAGATTTTTGCTTATGATACCGAGCCACGTCTTATATGGAAAACATTTTGCAGATGCCATGTAAACGTTTACTCAGACTGATAAAAAAAATAATGACAATAGAATGTGATGTATTATCAGGGTGATCCCAACAAGGCCTTGCAGATACTGACAACTCCCTGATCAACAGCTCTCCCTTGCTTTTTGAAGTAACAACCTCTGTATGAATACAGCAGCATTTTACTCCTGGCACAATAATGAATTTCACAACCTCCATATTGGTCAAATAGCTTAAAACTGTTGGGAGTTAAATCTGGAGAGTCTACATGAGAACTCTTATTCCTCCTCTTCCTCAATGGCACTTTCTTGATAAATTATCTGGGCAGAATTTTTTTCCATTTGTATTCATACCTATAATGATGTGATACATTTTTCCCCCCTGATCTCTGAATATGGCTAGATTTTGTGTTGCTAGGAAATGGAGCTCATCTAATTTATTCCTAGCTCCATTCTTAATAAATTTTGTCTGAATATTGCCAGCTCACAATATGAGCTTGTTCCTTATATCAATATACATCACAAATGCTAAGGGGGTAAAGCATTAAGGAGACAGATATTCATTTTTAGAAGGCAAACTTCTGTGAGTACTGCAGTATTTCCATCAATGTTTTGTAAAGCAAGCATTTTTTTGGGGGGGGAAGGGGGGGCAGATCTATGGTTTGAACTCAGGGCCTGAGCACTGTCCCTGGGCGATTTAGCTCAAGGCTAGCACTCTCCCACTTGAGCCACAGCTCCACTTCCAGCTGTGTGTGTGTGTGTGTGTGTGTGTGTGTGTGTGTGCCTAATTGGAGATTTTCCTGCCCAGGCTGGCACTGAACTGCGATCCTCAGATCTCAGCTAGGATTACAGGTGTGGGCCACCAATGCCTGGGTGTATTTTGCATTTCAAGGAAACTCCTTGGAGTATCAGAATAAGAGTCCCGGCATGCAGATAGCTTATTTTGTTCAATGGTCCAACCTGGATCTCTCTTTCTTTAAGCAACAGACAGAAAGCTTAAGACTCCTTTGAAGTCTTATTCCTTACACACATTAAGGGAGCTGTCATATCCAATAGGCCTTGCTGTAGGGAGCCCTTAACAGAAACTGCCACAGCACCCTGTACATTGCATTTCACTGGTTTAACTCTTTCAGATGACTGCTCGCCTTTGCTGGAATTGAAATCCTTAAGGGTGGGTTTGTGCATTTATTTATCCACCTTGGATCCATCCCTCGAGGCTGGCCCAGAACAGATTCTCACTATGCATTTGTTGAATAATTACCTTATAAGGGGAGAGGCTTATTATACGACCCGGGCTCACCAGTCACAACGACCCTACGAGATTACATTCCGCTCTCCCCCTTTTACAGATGATAAAACGGAGTCTCAGGGCGTGGAAGTTTAAACTCGCCAGCAAGCGCCAGTTGATGGGTTTCAAAGCCCAGGTCACACTTGTCTCAGAGAGTTTCCGCTCCTCACTCCCAAGTCCACGTCGTGAGTCCCTCCCCCCCCGCCCCGCCCCCCTAGATCACTGCCAGAACCAAAATGGGGAAGGGGGAGAACCACCTTTCCGGGGAGGGATGAAGACCCCCAGCAAGGCTTTGCTGGCGCCACGGGCTGCTTCTGAAGCCATTTCCTTAGCGTCTGTCACGGAGGGTGCACTTTCCTGACAAGTGCCCCCAAGGTGCAGTGCTGGGACCGGGGAGGGGTGCACAGGTGCTGCGACCAGTGCAGGAGGTGGGGGGAGGGCGTCGCGTCCCGGCTGGGGCTTCCTCGCGCTACTAGGCCTCACCGAGGCCCGATGGACCCCCAGCTCCGGCCCCAGCGGCCACGCCTGGAGACTCAGCGGGAACTCGAGGTTCCGGCCGACGGGGACAGCACAGCTCACCACCCTCCCGACCGGGTCGGGCCCATTTGGAGACACTCACCCGCGGGCCGAGAAGGCGGCCGCAGCTCCGGCTCCGCTTCCCTTTGTCCCGCGCTCGCCCCGCCCCTGCCGCGCGCCTGCGCTTCCGCGGCCGCACTTTCCACACGCCGCGGGAAGGCCTTCCGGGCTCTCCGCGCGTCTCTTCTGAGAGGAAAGAACGCTTCTGGGGAGGGACGCGGTGGCGGGTCTTTTATTTTTATTTTTTTACATTAATTTTAGGTCTCAGAGTTTTCTCCAAACGTCCCGACTTGGGGACGCTTTCCGAAGCCGGACGCCGATTCGTCACGACGAGGTTCCGAGCAGGCCCGGCGGCGGACGGGG